AAAAGTTAAGGTCAATGCTTTAAACTTTATTGGGGTATTAGTATATTTAATTATATATAAAAATATAATTATTTTACATTTTGTTTACTTATTCAAACTTTTCTTATTGTATTATTACAGTTAAGATTTGTACTTGAAATACCAATTTCATTTGTACTTAAGTCATTGGAAAAAATGGAAAGATTATTAGCATAATTTAAAGAATAAGTATTTCGATTGAAACACTAATGTAGAGACGACGATGAAAAATCTACCCGTAATGTGATTAGGTGACAATATGAACAATTACTTAGATTTTGGTTCTCAAGTAAATAAGAGGTACTAATTTATAAATTTGTATAGTAGAATGAAATAAGGAAAGTATTTTATGCTTTAGTTAGTAATATTTGTATTTCTACCATATACGTAATTATTTTTTATGATAGAAAAGAGAACAAATTGGGATTGGTAGCAGAAGCAACAGAAATATAGCCACACAAGTGGATCAAAAAGTTTTGCAAAAAAGCAAAAAAAAAAGTAAGTTTATGATTTTAAACTTATTCCAATCAATGAATTTTTTGTGCCGTTAAAAGGTAAATATGCAAATTAACAGTTATTATTTTGTTTTAATAGTTTTGATAGTTTCAATACATGATATTAAACTTATCGAAAGTTTTAAACTTAGTCGACACGGATGATATGTATGAAAAAGCTATTGTTTATGTCTTTTTAGGTAAAAATACAAATTTGTTGTTATTGTTGTATTTTAACAGTTTGAATAGCTTTAATACTTAATATTAAACTTATTCGGTTGATTGAACTTGGTTTCTACAGTTGATATAGGTGAAAAAGTTATCTTTTATGTCTATTTGCAACTATTTTTGTCTTTAAAAGCAAAAATACAAATTAAAATTTTGGATGGCTTTCAACAATTTGAATGGCTTCAATCCATGATATTAAACTTGTCCAAATAATTGAATTTGGTTTCCATGATGATATGTGTAAAAGGCCAAAATGCTTTTATTGTTTGCATTTGTTTAAGACTATTGTATTGTTAAGGGGCCAAAATATAAATACATGATATGTATCTTATCAAATAACATATGTTTTTGTATAGGAGATTGAAATGGACGGTAAAATTAGACGTGTGAAATTTTTTCACTTAACACATATAAAAAAAATATGGATCTTACATAAATGTCGAAACACAAGAAATTGTGATAGTTTGTAACATCTACTTTAATAGAAAGTAAATATTTACTCTTTTTAACATATTATCAATTAATCATTAAACTTGATAGTTGTATATGACTAATTTATAGGAGAAAACGAAAGAGAAAATGGCTACTAAGATTGAAATAGCATATGATAGTTCTCTCAACATGCAAAAATTAAAAAATCGGATATTCATAAAAGTTGTTGGAAAGAAAGGCACAAATAGGTCCGAGGCCTTGGATTGGGTCTAACACCATCTACTTACAATGGACGTAGCTCTCAACCATTTACATTCTTAGCAAATCAACCTTCGCAAGACATTTCAATATTGAGAAAGGAGTTACAAACTATACAACAATGTTTCCAACAAATGAAAGCAAAAAGAGAAAAAGAGCGTGCCAAAATTAAGGAAGAATGTGCTAGAATGAAGCAAAAGCGTGCAAAATTTCAACAGTTGTATGATCGATTCCATTGTCTTATGAATTTTGTGCAATAATAATTTTCAAGAATTGATCTCGATGGTTCACCAACTCAGGTATTATATTTAGTAAATATTTATATTTTTTAATATAAAAAAAGCTTACAATGAAATGTTAAAAACTGTATGATATTATTCAGTAGGTTCTTGAGCACGTTAATGACTAAGGTGAAAAAATTCCTTCATTAATTGGCAGCCTTCAAAATCTATGCAGTCATCAATTTCATACATTTTAATTTTTATTTTGTTAATGTATTAAAAAAATTTGAATGTTATTATACTAATTATTAAACTTTGTGTTAATTAAATGTATATTTGAATATGAATTAAGTTTATATTAATTTCAGTTTTTTGAATTTAAGCTTGTTTATGAAAATAATAAATATTAACAGAAATTTTTTATTTAAAAAAAATACATTTCTTAATTTCGTGACATTTGTGTTCAAAAATATCGCTAAATGAATAATTTAGTGACATTTGTACCATAAAATACTACTAAAAATAGCGACACATTTACTAAAAAATGCCACTAAATTAGCAGTATTTTTTTTTATATAAACGCCACCAAAGTAACGGTATTTTTTTAATAAAAACATCACTAAATTAGCGACGTCTCAAAGATACAAATGCCCCTAAAATAGATGTATTTTTTGGATACAAATAATGCTAATATAACAGCATTTTCAGATACAAATACTGCTAATATAACGGTATTTTTCATATATTAGCAGTGGCATTTTATAGAAAACGTCGTTATTTTTTGCGACGTGTATATAGCTGGCACTCTGACTGGCATTTTTTGCAAATGTCATAAATCTTTTAGTGGCGTTTATAAATGACGCTAAACGTTAAAAAAAATGCCACTAAAAACCTAAACTCCTGCAGTAATTGACAAAAACACCTTCAATGATCCCCTTAACAAAATTTGTAAAGGATTATTGAAGGTGTTTTTGGCCAAAAATATCTTCAATAATCCCTTGAAAAAATTTGAAATGGATTATTGAATGTGTTTTTGATAAAAAAAAATACATTTAATAATCTCCTCAACAAAATTTAGAAAGGATTATTGAATGCGTTTTTGGCTAAAAATGCCTTCAATAATCCATCATAAAAATTTAGTGATGCGATTATTTAAGGTTTTTTTGACCAAAAACACCTTGAATAACCCTATTGAATTTTTTGTAAGGGATTATTCAAGGTGTTTCTAACAAAAAATACCTTGAATAATCCAAAAAAAATGGTAGGCTTATGAATTTAAATAATTTTCTTTACCTCCACCTTCCACTGACTCTACAAACTTAATCTCTACCTCCCACCAACTCTCTCCACCTCTCACCGACTCTACAAACTTAAACCCATCGGTACCCATTTTGTTTTAGAGCTGAATCAAAGTTGAAGCATTACAACTCTCGTTATTTCTCAAAGGTATTTTTCATTTTCTGCATTTCAATTTTGTGTCATCAAGCATGCCTTTTTTTTTGTATTTTTTGTTGTATTGGTTAAATTTAGGTTCAATCTTTGTCACTTCAAAAAGTAGAAGAAGGACTGAAAATGTTATTAGAGGCACTATTTTTGTTAATAGAACAGCTTTAATAGGAAAAACAGATGAAAACTTCATTTGTTCTACTAGGGATTGGTGGCCTCTTGATAAATGTGACTATGGAATATGTAGTTGGGGAAGAACTTCTCTTTTTAATTGAGTAAACAGCTTATCCTTAGGCCTCTGGTATAAAAATATCATAAAGAAAAATCTTTCTTTTTGAAATTTTAGTGCCTACTTCGCTTTTACAGGAATTTCTTAAACAACAATCTAGCTGATCAAAAAATGAATTGTATGGCTCCGACATTAGAACAAGCGTTGTAGCAGATTAATATGTATATGATGTGAACAATCTTCAAAACATTGTTCAGAATATACATAAAGGATTTGAGGTTCAGCTATTAGTAATAACACAAGGAGGATTATTTGATACAAATTTAAGCACTATGCTTGTAGACATTCAATCATAGATATTAATGTTCTTTTTTTTTTTGATTTGGTATAATAATGTTAGTTCTTCACTTATTTAAATTTGTGGATTATAAAACAATTTGGTTGTTATTTTATTTCAAATGTTATTAAATATTTTTACTTTTTTCTGTATTTTTACTTTATATGAGATCATATCATATTATGATTATAAATAAATTAACATTAATATTGAAAATATAATTCAAAAAAATGCTTTTACCGATGCCTTAAAATTTATACTGACGCATTTTACTATTAAAATGTTTTAGGCTATACTGACAGTCATCACGTACCGTTGGTATAGGTAAGAAAAATTAAAACATATAAGTCTATATTGATAGATATTAACCGTCAATAAAAGGTATAACAGTGGAACATACAACATATGTTATATCAACATATATACATTTACTAACCATCTTAAACCGTAGGTGTATTTCTATAAACTATTCCGACACATTAAAAACTGTTAGTATAGATCTATACCGACAAAGAATATAATGATAATTCGTTGAAATACATATTTTGATCGTCGATATAGAATTTATGATGCTATACTGACGGATTTTGGGATTTTATCGACTTTTTTTTAACATCAATATATTTAAAATTTCTTGTAGTGTTAGAAGTCTATGAAGTTTATCATGTTCACAAAATCCAGATTTAATCTTTCATATTTTACAAAACCGGCAACTTAATTATAATTAATATGAACAAGTAAATAAATTTAAGAGATTTTTTCCACTATATATGAAGTGAAAATCATTAAATTTTCTTTCATTGAATAGATGAAAAGATATGTAGGATTCTCACTCAAATTTAATTTGATGAAAACTCTCTAACTTCCTTCCACCGAACTTCCACAAAGAAATTAAACAATAATTATACAAACTGGCCGCCTTTGCCTTATTTTAGATCAAATAGTAATACCTTGAAATCTCTCAAAGTTTCATCCAAGCTTATCAAGGCAGTGTAGAGATAACACATGCAAATATTTTTTATAGAAAAGAAAATCATCTCTCTCTCTCTTGCACTTGCTTCTGGGTACTGTAGATGTAGGGAGCTCGAGAAATAATTAATCTCTGCTAAAATAAACCTTCAATTCTCCTTCTGTTCTTCATCTTTCAAGGGTTTCTTCAAGTCTATTTGGTATTTCCAGAATATTCAACCTTAGTTGATTTCTGAATATCCATCGAAATTCTCCACTAAAGCAATATGGAAATTTGCAGCCAAGAGTCTCCTCAACCCTTGAAAAACTTGCATGCAAAACTGCAAGACAGTGTAAAGGGAACCCCAAAGAAACTTTGAATATAACCCTCAAAAATCAAAAAAGAAATTAGGATCGCCATAATCCCAAATACAAGCTGGGGAATATTCATCATCATTTGGTAAAGGCCAAACGGATGGAGATCCAGGTCCAACTGTTAAACCTGGATCCGGAACCGCTGGTGCAACCGGAGTCTGAGATAACAAAGACAAACTCGAACCCACCGAGCCCACCAGGGAATTAATATCCCCGTACAAAGAACCCTGATGATGATGATGCTGTACTTGTTGAGGGTTAGGATTTGAAAACGACGTTGTTCCCGTGGGGACAGCAGGGACAAGGCTAGGTTCAGTTTGTTGCATTATTTGCAAAGCTTGCTGGGGATTTGGTACCATGTTTGGGTAAACTGCTGTTGAGTTGAAAAGGTTTGGATAACCCCCATATGGCATAAACCTTGACGAAGAAACCCCCCCAGCCATTAAAGAAGCTGGATGATGAGTAGTGGGATTTGAAGAAGAAGAAGCAAAACTAAAAGCAAAGCCTGAAGGACGAGGAAGCAAAGGCCTTAAAGTTTGAGTAAAGGTGGAAGAAGAACCACCACGGGAAGATGAAGACGAAGAAGAAGATGAAGAGACGGAGGATTGGAGATTGAGCTGAGCCTTAGAACCATAAAGAATAATAGCTGCTCGATCATAAGCTCGAGCTGCTTCCTCAGCTGTGGCGAAAGTTCCAAGCCATTTCCTCGTACGTTTTCGAGGTTCTCGGATCTCAGCAACCCATTTACCCCAACTTCTTTGCCTCACGCCTCTATATCTAAACTTGTTATTATCAGGGCCACCTTTTCCTTTACATTTCCTGCTGTTAGCGGAGCTGCCTGGAGGGTTAGTATTGGTGCTAATAATTCGTTCAGATTCAGAGCTTTTGGTGTCCAGATCAGGAGTAGTGGTGGTTTTTACGGTGGTTTCTAGGGGAGGGTGAGAGAGGGGAGACTGGTCCCGGTCCATAGAAGAAGAGGCAGAGTGCTGCTTTAAAAGGGGCTTCAAAGAGAGACCTCGTTCTTCGCTCTCGATTAGTCGAAAGGTGGATGAGAGGGGCCTATGTTTTGATGTGGATGTCGTCACTGCTACCGGTGGATGAGGGCGGTGGCTCTTTTGTGTACTTATATTTGGAGAGAGAAAGAGAAAGAGAAAGAGAAAGACTGCTGAACAGTGAAGAGACAGGCAGACCTTTTGTTTAGGAATTAATTCGAAATATTTTATCTATTTTTGCTTCTTTTTTTTTTTTTCAATATGGACATTTTGTAGGTTCTATTTTAGGGCAAATTCCTAGGAAATTATTGAGCAAACCTTTTTGTCTAGGAAACGAAAGAGTTCTCCAAATAACTTCCCTTTTTTTTCTTTTTTTTTTTCATAAAATAACTTCCTTTTATTACGTATTCTTAGGTTTGATTAATGATAGATCTTACCTTGTCAATGGTTGTCAATCTAATTTATTGTAAATAAAAATTAAAAATTTATTTAGATATAAATTAAAAGTTAATAATTTATTTAAATATAAATTAAAATTTAAAAATATATTTGAATGTAAAATAAAGATAAAAAATCTATTTAGATATAATAAAAATATAAAAATATATCTAAATAAAGTGATAATATTTTTTTATTATTTTAACCTTTAAAATTTTAAATGTAAAGATTATTTCATACATTAAAAGTTTTAACTTTTAATCAAAATTACAGTTACATTTTTTTTTTATAAAAAATCACGACCAATTTGAGATAACATAAAGAAACGTAGATATTATAAGTTAATTACAAATTTATTAGATTCTTTTTTTTTTAAATAGATGTATGAATAATTAAGTTTATGAAAAACATTTTAGAATAAATTTTTTCATGATAGTTGGGACACAAGATCTCAGCCATTTTAATTAAGGTGATGATAGCTAGCAAATGACAATGTTTTTGGATATAGGTTCCATAGACTATAATACTATTCTTAATCATGTTTCTTAATTATTAACATAAAAAATTCATGTCATGTTTTTAACTACTTGATCTAGTGACTAAGACAATCTTAAAAAAAAAAAATTAAAGTTGGGTTCAAACCATAGTTTTTTCCATCCCTTTAATGTAGGGCTATGCCTCCATTGAATGACAAAAAAAAAAAAAAAAAAAATTCATGTCATGTACCCGTATCTAATAATTTGGTGAAACCAAGTATTTAGAATCAACTAAGTCATGCACTTTACTAATTAAGTCTCTAACATACATATATTTTCATCTCCTGTTATCAAGAATTGTGACATGTGGACTGCCACATATACAACCTTCATTTGTCATGAATCATTAAATTGCCATATATTTATTTTAAGGTACCAAGTCATCCAACTTTAATTATCTGTCTTTTATGTCTTTCATCTCTTGGGGTGTAGAGCTTAAAAAGCTTCATCTTCCATTATTGATTTACTACCTCCTCAATAATTGTATTCTTCCTTCATTTGTTTTTTTTTTTAAAATTATTCTATTTTCTTATTCAAGAGACAATGAATCTTCTTTACAACTTGAAAAGATATAAATTTACACCATTCAAAATTTTCATATAAGTGACCTATTATCTTTCTTACTCATTATTATTTATTTATTGCTTTCAATTTCATTCTAAAAAAAAAAACCATTCATTTAACCTTTTATTATAAGTATAAATATTTTTTTCACTTAATTTTTTTTAAAAATTCATTCTTTATATTAGTGAGTATGTTCATCCATAAAATTGATATTTTAAATGTATATTAATTATCAAATTCTAGGTTATACTCTTTATCTCTTTTTTCTCCAAAATTCTTTTCTATTTCTTGCATTTGTTTAAACAATTTTTTTCTCCCCTTCTATTGAAATCTGAAAACTAAACAAATTTTCTTTGATTTGATGAATCCACTTGAACAAAAAAAAAAAAAAAAAAGAATCCACCGTCATAAAAGGAATCATCAAATTTAAATTTTGTTTAATAAATATATGATCACTTATTCTTCATTTAGGTTATTTATAATCTCCCTTACAATATAGGCATATATTTATTTCCTTTCTCAATTATAAAATGTAATTTTATTATATTATTATCATTACATTATAGTTTTGATTTAATAGTAAAGATTTTAATGGAAAAACATAAAATAAATGATAGCAACTTAGTAGGAACTTTATTTTTTTAATTTCTTTTATTTTTTGAGGATGAAATAGGTAAGGGATTTTATTTCCAATTGTGGGTTAATTAATAATTTAACTGAGATTCATTTATCTTTTTAATTGTGAAAAATATGACTTTTTTTTTTTTTTATTTCTGTCCATTATGATTTTTTCACTTTTAAAATTTATGATACATTTGAAATGTGTCAAAAAGTATTCATATTTATTTTACCTTTTGAAATATATATTTTATTATTGCAATATGTATTACATAATAAAATGAAAAACAACAGCAATGGACAGATTGTTATCTTGTGCTATATATTTTATGGGTTTTTTTTTTCTTTTTATGAATGAACAGCAATAAATAATATGTCGATAGCTTATAATATTATTGATCGAAGATTGTCAATAATTTTTATTTGAGAAATTACTAAAATATCTTACCCTCCGATTATACAATTAACTACTCATAAAAAGTTACATTAATACTCATACATATCAATACTATTTGTAAATAATTAGATAATTTAAATATCAAACAAGATAATATTTCCTTTTTATTTTTCACACATTTATTATAACAAATTCTAATTTATACTAACATAAGAATCCAAAAGAACTAGGCGCACACACATATCATTGCATGCAGCAAGAGAAGCAGCCTCGGGCAGAGAGGTGCTAATGGCACTTCATCAAATGAAGTAATCCCTTGAAGAGTTAGAAGAGTATATAGTTTTTTGTTTTTTCCTTCTTCAATCTGCATAAGATTTTTATAAAAATATTTTAAAAGTAAAATAGTAAATGCACTAAACTGATATATGTGAACAAACTGATAAATGTGAATGCACTTTTTAAATTGTTAAAAAAAAAAACTAAAAATATCCATGATCATTAATCATGTTAAAGAAAAAAACATATCGGCCACGACTAAAGTTTAACACTAAGCTTATTAGATCCTATGGGTTGTGCCTGGCCCCTGGGCAACTATCTAAAGACCAAAGTCGTCTCTAAGAGCCGGCCTGCAGGGGTTCAGATTCTTTGGTTTCTCACCCCTTGTTATTTTTTCTTTAAATAGCTCTCCCAGGATATATCTTACTTCGTCAAGAAGGCTTGATCGTGGAAACAGGAAACACCTTTGAAGATCAAAGCATTGTTTGCTTCTGGAGAAGGTAACGCTTCAGCTGATTATAGAAGATTCAGCAAATTCAATTGGTTTACCGTCCCTGCAATGCATGCAATATTTATAATCAGCTGAATCTTAATTGATTTTTAGTCTCTTGCATGTAGTGATGTGATATATCTGCACGTTGAATCTTAATTGTTAAAGGATCAAAGACTGACTTCCAAGAACGAAGGAAAGGGCTTACAGTTAAAACTGGCAAAGGACGTATATAGTAGGGACAGTTTTCATCTGAAACAAGTAGTATTTGTCTACAAAAATTAGTGTCAATTAAATTAGGAATAGCTTTAATAAATTGTATAGGTATTGGAAATCAGCGAAAGCTCTCTGAGTCTCTCCATTCATTGTTTGTAACTTCAAAACTCGAAAAGTCGTAATGCTCCTGGCTTTTGACCTTTTCCCAAAGCTACCTGTTTTTTATAGCATAAAATAAAAAATATATACTGTGACCAATGAAAATGTCTTTCTGTAACTTTAAATTAAAAAAAAAAAAACCGATAGTGATGGTTTGGATAAAGATTTTTTTTTTCTAAAAGTACCCACTTGTTAATATCTGTCATTTCCTTTGAAAATTTGATATATTCATGAATTAATATGGCAAATTAGTATTAAAAGTTTATATTTATACATTACATATATATATGTTATTTATCAATTTTAATTCAATATTAAAAAATTAAAATTTGATTGAAATTTTTTTTTTTAATCCAGTGGTTTAATCTTATGGGTTATAAATTAATGACGATTCTACCTTTTTGTTATACTGTGTTTGAATTGAAAAGAAAAATTAAACTAGTTGATAGATTTAATGTCTTAATTTTACATATAGCTTAGCCACCAGAGGAAATTGTGCAGCTTGAGCATGATGATGAAAATTATAATTTTTGCATGCAGGGAGATGAGGTGTCTTCACGTAAGAAGAGGAGCTCTTCAACCACAGAAAATTTTTCCATCGAAATTTGGCTTTGAAGGGAAGAGAAAGCAAAGCATGTGGTAGGCAGGCAGCCACAGTCCTCTGCTGCCTCGTAACTCACAAAAAGCCCACATCCATTAATCAAAGCAAAGCTAAGAGAAAGAATATGATATCATTATATATAAAATATATATATAACTCTCTCGGGCTGAAAATCTGAAATGGGGAAGACTTTGTTTTCTGCTGTGCTCTTTTGTCGTCCATTTTGGAATGCGAATGGGGTGGGGGTTGAAAGGCCGCTGTTCCACTCTCACCCAGAGCCTCTGAAATCTGGTCAATCACACTTATTTGTTTACCATTATTTCTCTTGTTTTACAAATGGGGTATATATATATATATGCATTATTTTTTGTATATCAACTATTGACCATGGAAAATTATAAAATCAATACATATGCTTCCAACTTAATACGTTTCCCCAATTAAAGAAATTAAATACGAAAAATAATCTCATACATTATCGTTGATTTAGTAAATTTAAATGATAATATTTCAATTTTTTAAATCCTATCAACCAAAAAAATATGTGACGGTTAGATAATAGCACTTTTAACGTTTTTTTTTTATCATTTAACTATGTTTATTAAAAATGTCACTAAAAACACCAACTAATTGAAATGTCGAAAAATTTAACTGCATTCTTTATAAAACGCTGCTATAGTTTGTAGCGTTTTTTTCATCATTTAACAGTATTTAAAAAAAAACGCTGCTAAATAATTGAAAATTGTCATTAAAAACGCCAACCATCCATGTGTTAAGAAATGTGTATTGTTTTTTTTGTTTTTATGAAAACGTCACTATAATTCACGATGATTTTATACATTTAGCAACGTATTATAAATGCCTTGATAAGTAAATCATGGATGGAGCTAAATTAAAAATAAATTTCGGTGTTTATATAAATGCTGATAGATTAGAGATAGATGAACTTGCTGCTAAATTAGAGATAGATAATGGCATTTATACTAACAAATTCTACTAAATTAGTTATAAATAGCAATATTTTTAATAATAAACACACAAAACACTACTAAATTAGTTATAGATAGCAACATTTTTAATAAAAAACGCCTCTACACTTTGAATATTAATTATATATATATATATATATTAATATAGCAAAAATTAACATTTAGGATAATTTTTTTTTATTTTCGCTACAATTACATTGAACATTGAAACATGTTACAAAAACACATAAAACTTAATTGAATTTCATTAAATAAATAGTATAAAACATTTAAATACATCAATTGTCTTAATAAGTTAACAAATAAAATACAATCAAATTTCACATGTTTTTCAATTGCTAAAATTAAAGAAAACAAAAAGTATAATTTTTTTAAATTATTTTGACTAGAAGAGCTAAGGATGAAGACATAAATAGAAGTAACAAATATAAGACAAAATTCAAAGAATAAGAGAATAGACAAAGACTCAGAAATTGAAAATCTTATTAAGTGCTTCAGCATCTTTCAATGCTTTTTGCACTTCATCCATCATTCCTCTCACCTAGTCAATAAAGACAAAGCTAATTAAAGAAGTACAAATAGCAAAACAAGAAAATAACATACATAATCCTAAACTCAAGAACTATACTCTGAATTCAAAAATGACAAACATAATTGGCCAAGATAATCTCATGATATTAGTTAGCATGACTCGTATCTTTTAGCATTGCAGGAAAAAGGACAAAGTAAGGTAGTCAAGCAGTAACGAAATATCTTCAAAGCAATAATGCAATATTTCATAATAGATTAAACAACTATAACTAACTTTATTAGTATCATAAATAACCTTAATGGGGTATAGTAAATGAATGGCAATGGTCAATAATGCCAACATTGTAGATTGACCATTTTGATCAATTAGCAAAAGAGAAGGTGAAAAAGTAATTATATTCTCATACCATTAAGCTAAATTAGAAGGACACTTGCCTTGTATGCACTTTCATTATTTATATATTTTCCCAAGCATGCAATTAACTTTGATGGAGTCCACAACACATTCTGTGAAAACCAAAAACAATAGCAGTAATAGATAGTCTCATTATAAATATTATGCTTTCAGAACTGCCTAAACAACAAATAATCAACAAAATGAAAGAAAAAATAAGAAAGCTTCTTGCATGGTGATCTATAGGAATATGCAAGTATAGACATAATTAATAAGAGAATAAAAGGCCACATGACATAAAATTTAATGCCAATTTCGCAATGTTATCACTCCAAAAATGAAACAAAGAAGTGGCTATCAAACTTAAAAAAAAAAAAAAGAAGTGGCTATCAATACACAAAACAGAGCAGGCAACCACATTACAATAGAAAGTCCAGTTTCCTATTGTGGGTGATTCAGACATTATAATCCATAACTCTAGCAAAAATATCAGGCTAGCCATGTTCTATTCCACCAAAATTCAATACAATGACAAAAATTAATAGCCAAGCAAGCAGTTTCATTTAACAAGGAAATCTCTTATTTCCAATTGAAATCCCATATGTGTTGCATTACCCAAAAATATGATACAAATTTTATTCACCTGTAGGAACAAAATATCATTAATTTCCCATTTTACAAGATCCCAACATTCAGAGAACACCCAAAAAAAATCCAAATGCTCAAATTAAGCGAAAACAGAGGATAAATAAAGAAATTCAGAAAAAAAATCTGCACCCAAAAATGAATGGCAAGAGTCAAATACCTTTCTAGTCCAGCAGTGTCCCAAATCTGAGCTTTAACAACCTTATCATCAACATGAGTGCTATGGGTGGCAAACAAAACCCCAATAGTAGACTTAGATGCAAGGCTAAACTCGTTCTTGAAAATCTAGACAAAAGGTTGGATTTTCCAACACCTGAGCCACCGATCAGGACAACCTTAAATAAGTAATCGTAGCCGTCATACGACTTACTGGGTATTTTGATCAATTTCAAAGACTTTAGTAGAACCTTTCCTAACAATTGCCCACAGCCTCAGTCATTGCCATCGCCAAAACATCACAATAATAATCCCACTGAAAATAAAAAATTATTTTCTGTAAATTTCGAACCCTAAAAACTGTAATGCAATAAAAATTAAGAGTTTACCTTTGCTCAGAGGAACCATAGCTGGCGGAATCGGTGAAATCGAAGGGAATAATCGTATAACCGGAACTTTAGAGATCCTTACTGGTAACATCGAAGGTTGGCTTGAAGATGGAACTCAACGAAGCAGAACTCGCACTCGCCGTCATCGTCGCAAGCGTCACGAGGGATTTGGGTTTTGGATCTGCAAGAGCCATTTTCAAGAACTCTGCGAAGTAAAACTCGATGGGCTTGATCATATAGACATGGCGAGCTCGCTAGTGAAAGGGATTTGGGTGTGAAAGGGATTTGGGTTTTGGCTCTACAAAATCCTAAAATGGAAGAGGTGACTAAGGAGAAACTTTGAGTGTTAGAAAGAACAGCATATGAAATGAAAACAGAGGAAAATTTGGAACAAAATTGCCACGTTTAGGACGACACGCGCCACTAAATATAAAGGAACACCTGGATGAAGCGAGTTAAAAATGTGTAGACAAAATAGCAGAGTTCATTTAAAATATGCCACGAAAATTCACGATTTTAGTGTTTGTAATTATGTCGCAAAAATTAGTGGTGTTTATAATTACAAACCCCATAAATTTATCTAAAATTTCAAACTTCTTCCCACTCTTTTTTTGCGCTATATTATTTTTATTTCACTCAATTTTTTTATATTTTAACGGGATTGAAAGATGATAAATATTGCTTTTTTTAATTTTAGCAACATGTATTTGCAAACGTAACGATCATTTTAAGATCACGAAAGTTAGTGGCTTTTTTGTATAGAAATGTCAGTGAAAAAAGTGTCGCAAAAAATCTATTTCTATGCAGTGGGTATACAATTTATAAAATAATAAATTCTTTTATTTGAAGATAAAATCAAAGGGCATTCGAATCATAATTACCCTTTAAGTAAGAGATAATTCATTAATTATTAAATCAAATATTTGGATATAAATAATAATTCACTAAATATTAATAATTTAAATTTTCGAAGATATAGGAAAAATCTAAATCAATTACACAAATTTCTAAATCTCCTTTCCAAGTAATGAATTTAATCAATTGATCATCTATAAATATAAATAAAAGTTATTTCCTTTTCTAATTTAAAGAGACAGATAAGCAAAGTAAATAAAAAAAATTAAAGGATAATTTTGAAAAAAATTTTCTCTTTTCCTACACATCAAGCGAGAAGCTACAACCAAAAGAAATTAAAAGAGAGATAGGGAAAGAGAAAAAGGAAGGTTGGTGTTTTTGTTACTTCTCATTTTGATAGTTCCCTTATGGTTTTCTTAAAAAGTATTGTGTTTAAGGTCTAAAATGATATCTACTCTCTCTCCACCAAAGAAGAGGCTGATGAGAGACTTCAAGAGGCTAGAACAGGATCTACCCGCTAGTTTTAGTGGGGCTGCTCAAGATAATAATATCATGCTTTGGAATGCTATCATTTTTGGGTATTTCTTAATTTTCTTCCTTTCTTTTTTCTTTTTTTTTTTGATTTGGTTATTTTTTTTGTAGGACAAATGATTCTCCTTAGATGGAGGTAAAATTTTGTTTTTTTTTTTTTTCTGTTTTTGTTTTCTTTCACTTGAATTTTATAAATTGTTAGTTTTCTTTGTTATGCTGTTGATATTTTCTTATGGAATTTTTGTTGGAGTTAGTGAAATTTAAGCTATTAATTGTGTTACCTTTTTGGGTTTTAGGTGAAAATTAACGAATTGGTATCATTTTGTTGTTTCAGTTCTTGCTGATTTAGTCATTTTGTCTTGAAATTTGAACTTTTATGTATCTCTAGACATGCATGCTTAAATCAATATGCATTGATACATGATTCAAGCACACATGATTTTCTGAGTTGATGAAGAGGGAGTGCGGTTGAATTTTTGCACAATTTGTTTATTTAATTAATGGGGTTAATTCTATTTTTTAGCCCTTTAGATGGTTGAGTTGTGGATTCTGGACACAACCTAGCATTGCACAGTAATCATTTCCCTTTTTAAAGGCTAATTCTATGTTCTGCAATTGCATGTATCTCTTAACACATAGGATTATTGGGTTTTAATTATTTGTGTAGAATTATTAAAGAGGAAGAAAGATTTGGTGAAAATAAAACCCAGTGCAAAAATTAAAAGAGAATAAAAGTTTGTCCTTTCTTGGAAAGCTTATTTTTGGGGGGGGGGGTTTAAAAAAATTTCAGTTATAGTTTTTTCTTTTTTGGATTTTTGTTGGTTATCGTAACTTCACCAAAGCCATGTTGTTGCCAGTTTCAACTCAAAAATAAGAGAAAAAAGAACTAGAAAAGGTGGTAAGGAAAGTTAATTTTTTCTGTTGGTATAGTTGTATGTTGGTTGGTTTTCTTACAACTGCAATTTTTTTTTTACTTTTTTCTCTTAATTTTATTTGGATATATGTGTTCATTTATAGTGTAGATATTTATGTTGTAAATTATATGGTAACGCATGTTAATTTCTTTCTCCCAGTTTTAGATTTTTTTAAAAAAACTTGCAGATTTTAATTTAGTAAGAATGTAATAATAGTTATAATTTTCTTTTCATTGATAATTTTTCAGGTAATTTAAAAGTTTAAAGCTAAACCGGAAAGAAAATGAGTTTGGAATAATTCATTTTGAAGATTAGGTACTTAACTTTTTTATTTGTTCGATTTAAATTGAAATGTTTAGTTTGATTGTTTACTATTACTTCTTAAATGCATTGCTTTGGTTCTTTACTTTTAAATTTGTCAAATTTCGTATATATACATTTTTCCTATTTGGTTTCCTCAAAATGTTGGTTATATTAGTTGAATCAATGCTCTATTAAGAGTATGTTTAAATTTCTTCTTAATTTTTTGGTTTTTGTTACATGCATATAAATCTATATACTCTGAACAAGAGCTCCATACCTTGATATCCGATCAATTGAAAGAAATGAGATTCTAGAAAAGAAATGCATTTACTCATTTCAAGTTGGCTTTACTATTGGAAATATTTTTGTTTATTAATTTGATGAGTTGAATATGATGGGGTTTCTTGGATTTGTAAAAGTTTTAATGGGATTATGACTTTAGGAAGGAGGATTTTGAATGGTAAATTTATAAATTAGTTAATTAGTTTTATTTTTGTTTAAATCTATGATGAGAAAATAAAAATTTTTATCCTTCTTATGCTCTAAAATTTTTTTACATATGTCAATTTTTCAATCTTCTTATAAATTCTTCCTTAATATGTTTTCTAATTATTCATTCTTTTTTGTTAGGTTTGTAGTGGTCAGGTTGGATTATAGGCCTTGACAAGCTCTCAATGGGTTGTTTGGTTTCTCCGAGATACGGTACTTCTATTAATCTTCTTGGTCATGAAGATGCAAGCATGTGAGTTCAATTTTTTTTTTAATCTTTTAGCCACTTATTATAATTTTTTGGCTAGGTTTAATAGCTAGCATTTATGCTAATGATTCATTGTAGTAGTTTTCTTTTATTCAAGTTTATTTGTTTAGTAGTTTTGATAGTTTTATCATTTGTAGAATTTTTTATATTGCTTAATGAATAAGATACTAAGAAAAGGGCAAACACTTGCTGATAATAAGTAGTCTTTTGCTCTGATGGCTTTTTGGTTCCATTTTGAGAAGCTCATTCATGCTGATAATTTCTATCTTTTTGTTGGGATGTATGCTTTAAGAGGTATTGCAACAACTTGATTCTTGAGTTTCATTTGAATTTATTAATTAATCTTTATATATGAGTTGGAGTTCTATAATAGATCTTATTTGCTCACTTTAGATGATATTATCTCTTAAACTTTGTTTTGTTTAGAGGTTTTTTGGATTGTTGGTTTGAAAGTCAGTTTTTTGTTTTATTGTTTATAGAAAGCTTGCATATAAACACTCAACATTCAGAGAGAGGCATCCTTGGCATACTCACATGTACCAATGATGTTGGCAAAATCTTAGCTTGATTGAAGAGTTTGTTTCTTAACTTACTTTAGGCTTATATTATAATTCTTAACATTGTATCATATTAGAAGATACTAAATAGGAACTTTTGCTTATCCTGATTTAGGCTTAGAGATAGGTGATGACATGAACTTGGCAATTGGGATTCAAGTGGCTCAGTTAGTGCTTAAGCAATGCCAAAATAAAAATCAGGAGCAAAGGATTAGTCTTTGTTGAAAGGTGTGTTTTGATATTGCTTTTGTTTGTTAATTGAAAAATGTTCTCTATGTTTTTTGTTGTAAAAATGTGCTATGATTGCTTGCAGTCCTATCTTTGGAGATGATTATAAGGAAATTGAAAAAGAATAGTGTAGCACTTGATATTGTGAATTTTGGCGAACATGAAGAAGGGAAGATAGATAAGCTAGAAGCACTTCTTACTACCATTAACAATAGTGATACCAATCATATTTTTCATGATCCAGCTGGTGCTAATGCTTTTTTTAATGTACTTATAAGGTTAGTTGTTTAGATTGTTTTCATTTTTTTCTTACATGTTAATGTCTTGATAAATTGTGATTTTACTGCTGAAACTGGATTTTTTTTTTTTTGTACATGGCAATACCCATCTTCACTGGGGATGGGGAAGGTGGAAGTGGTTTTATTGCTGCTGCTGTAGCTGGTGGCATCTCCAAACTAGTATCATACTTTGTAAAATTGTCCTTGTTAGGTGAGGATGAACTTATTTGGGCCAAATAAAGTTGTATACCCGGGCCACACTTGCTACACTGGTATTGCAGATTTTATGCCGGCTAATATTTAGTCTATTGGGTATGTTCCATTTTGTTTTTTTGTAATATGATTGACTTTACATCATGAGTGTGTATTTTTTTCTAGCCTTAGGGTATGATTAGAATGTCATGAAGCTTTGCTATATATAGTTGCTTATATTGAAACTTCTCCTGTGAAGGTATCGTGTATTTTTAGGACATAAGCAGTACTTTGTTTCCTCAGATGTTGGTGCTGGAAAGATGCAGTGGTATGCATTTCACAAGGAACCAACTGGTGATGTGGATAGCAATGGTAGATAACCTCCAATGTTTATTTGTTAGAATTCAGTATATAAACTAACAAAAACTTTGAAAGCAGCTTTAGTTGCCCTGAAAGTTATTTATTTTGTTTACATTTCAAATGTGTAAATATTTCTTTAAAATTTCAACTATTAAGAATTTTCATATTGAATGTTTCCAACCTATAGGATTTTACTGTTAATTTCAGTATGGGTTTAGTGTATTCTAATGTTATTTCTTTTCATCTTTTTGCAAGTAAAAAAGAGAGACTACTTAAAATATTCAAGGGGTGGTGTGATAATGTGATAGGTTTATTACTTGCTACCGATGAAGATTCAATTCTTAGAGGCGACATATATGACCGAACACTCTCACTAACTTGTGGAAGGGGGCGTGTAACCTTGCTTGGGGATTCTATCCATGCAATGCAGCCAAATATGGGTCAAAGGGGATGTATGGCCTTTAAGGTGTGTCTCGAAACCAATGTGTTGGCATTTTTTTTTCCCAAATTCAGCATTGCCCAAGATAGTGTACATGTTGTTAAAACCATGTGTAGTTTAATAGTGGTTTCCATGATTTTACAATAATCAAAAGGATGTTAGGTTGTCTAAGAGAACCTCCTGCCAAATAAGCACATTTTTTCCTTCAATTTTGCAAGACAGCTACCAATTAGCATAGGAACTTGATAAGGCATAGAAACAAAGTGTTGAGTCAAGGATTCCTATTGATATTGTATCTTCTTTAAAGAGGTATTACAACATTTCCTTTTTCCTAAATAGTTTGAAAATGTTAAATATTTAAAAAAACAAAGAGGTCAAAACTGCATGTTCAATCAAAAAACTATATTTAGAAAGTACTTATCTCTCAGACTGAATTTTTGAATATATATATATATATATTTATATATATAACATATGCTCCCTACCTGTTATTACTTGACTCAGTACATGGTAAAGAAAGACTCCTTCTAAACCACAGAAGTAGAATAACATTAGCGAGTATCTTTTGAATTTTGACTCGGCACTTAGTAAGAGTCCTTCTATACAATAGAAGAATAATATCGTTAGCAATATCTCTTGGATTGTTTTTGAAGTGTCGAAAACTTTGCTTATCCTTTAATTTAACAGATTCATTCATCACAGTCTAGATTTTCACTGAAAATTTACCATGCAGTCTGCTGACAATGATTTCTTTATATTTTGCACGACATCTGTATAACCAACTTATTTATATATCACTGGTTTGCTATATCTATTTTTTGCTATCCATAACGGACTCATGTATTTTGCAGCTATGAGAGAGCTAGAAGATTGTGAGTTGCCATCATCCATGGAATGGCAAGAATGGCTGCAATCATGGCTTCAACTTACCAGGCTTATTTAAGTATAAGGCTAGGTCCATTGTCGGTAAGAATCCATTTTATGTAAGTGAATAATTGTATAAAGTCAACAATTGTGAAAAATTGCATGCATAATCACCATGGCATCTGACCTGCTTTGCAATTTTTGACCAAATTTCGAATCCCGCATCCAAGGAGAGTTGGTGGAGGATTTTTTTATCAATTTAGCAATGCCCTTAATGCTCAGTTGAGTCTTGGGTGGTAATAGGTTAGATCTTGAAATGCACGTTTCCTTCTGCTTCTTTATCTTGACTTTCATGGAACATCTTTATAAGAGTTAGCTTTCTTTACCATCTTTTGTTTTCCAATTCACTTCTCAATACAATCATGCAAGATATCTTAATTTTTTCCAATAATGAATATTATTATATAATTTTCTAGGAGTTTCAAAAATTAAAACTAGAAAGAGTGCTTATCACTCTTTATAAGCTATAAATATACAAGCATTTATGACACTGTATTTGTGCTATTTTAAATTGAAATATTAACAATAGACAAAGTCATAATCATATATGTATTTATATTGTTTACTTATATCAGTGTACAAGTATTTAGATGTTTTTTTTTTCTTTGGTTTCATTTTAAATCGAATGACCAAGTCATTAAGTAGTGGTAAAGAGAGGTTGAGGTTGAAAATTTTAATCTACATCGAGGTTTAATTTTTTTTCTAATCTTTTTTATTTCCTAATTGATTTACCTTTTTATTAAATGTTTGGCCTGAGTGTTATCTATGTTTATGTTATATATAGTGGATAATAAAATCTTATTTGATGTAACACCCTGATTTGCAAGGTTGCTTAAAATTGTCTATCCATTGGAGGAGTTAATTATCACACAAAAATTTGTTGTGTAATTTCATTGGTAAGCCTAAGCTTCAACTATCATGGTTGTATTCCACTTATTTATATGATTTACCTGTATCACTATCAAAACTGATCTATGTGATCATAAAACTGTTAAAATTTGATGTAACTTTAATCATATTCAAGTCTATCATTAGTTTTAATTGTGACTGTTTTGAGGGTATACAATCCGATGTATAATAATTGGATTAAAATCGACTTACTGTTTGTTTAATGATTATGAGTTTAACAAAGGTTATGCATTTCATGATTGTAGAGTTGTTGTGTAAGATAAGACTATTTGTTTTAGAAATAAGCAAAGGAATATGGATTAAAATTTGAAGTCAAGAAACAATATGAAAAGATGATGATGATGACTCTAAAGCTAGGCATTTTATTTATATGACCTGCAAATTGATTTTGGTAAAACTATTCAAGCCAATTACAATCGGGTAGGTAACTTTTTGTGGTTTCATTTTAGAGTTTTCCCATCTAATGCTATAAAGGTGTTTGTTTTACCAAAGGGGTACTCTCTTCTAGCATGCCTATGTGTCATGGTTAAGAGCAATTGTATGCGGTCCCCTAATCATTCTTCCTAAACATGGTGTTCGTTACCCTTTTACCAAACCTTGCAAGGAAGTTCCCATTATTTTTGGTAATAAACTCTGAATGAGATGATTTAAAACTACATCTATTTGCTTGTTTAAGTGACCTTACTTTTGTTGACGTAAATCACCATGGATGATGATTAAACTGCAGTAGAATGGTTCAATGCTGATTCTGAAGCAGTTATTAGCCAGGCTCTTTAGATAGGGGGAGGACCAAATGTCTCTGATGCTTATAGCATTAATGAACTCCCAGGACCACTCTACAACTGTTATTTTTGACACAGATGGGTGTCTACACAGAGCACCATTATTTTTGACAAAGACAAGATCATTGGGTGCATGTACCTCATAGCAGCAGTCGTAGTTCTTTCAAGCAATGTGGTCTTGCAGGTACACTTGAGAAACAAATATAGGAGGCAGAATATGAGTTTTTGCTTTTCCTTTTTCCGTAAGATATCGTGTTTTACAGGCAACAACTTTAGGTGAATTTCCTGCTTCGATGTCCTTGTGTGCGATAACTTCCTTGAATGGAGTGATTATAACGGCAATGGTTTAATTGGACGAATATCTGTTCTTTTTATTAGTCATATATCACTACCCCGCTCTATCTCCTCGGAGTAAGAAGGGATGAGGCGAATAAAGGGGTCGAGAGGTTCCATCTCTTCGAAAGCCAGGAAGTGAAGAAAAAGCAAAAGAATTGTTATAGTTTAATTTATTAGTCTTGAGCCTTAGAACGGAAACTAGAAAATAGATTCTTCTTGGCCTTCCGAAACGTAGCCTTACTACTTAGAGCTTATAGCCTTTTATAAGGAAAGACTACATCTTTATTCTAGGCATCAATTGACTTTGGGTGCAAAGACTAACAAACGTAACTTTGATACGTGAGTTTTTAATTTATAGGATTATTGTGCTTATTACTTAGATTTGATATTAGATTTTGTTATTGATGGATTTGTGTGGATATTATCTTTATTTTATAAAGTTTTTATTTTATTTTTCCAGAAACCTGTTCATTTTGGAGTTGTTCCTTTGTTTGCATAAACCTGTTCATTTTGGAAAGATGAAAAATTGATGGAAACAAACAAATTATCCTTTGTTTTTTTTTTTTTTTTGTTGCAACTATTTTAGAACTTTGACTTCAAATTACTATATTTTCTACCTTTCTTTTCGTAATGCTTTAGTGAAATTTATAAATTAGGCAAATCTTCCTATTGTGATGAACTTCAACCCTAAGGTTATTGATATTTGTAGATTGAAGATCCAAATCTTTTCCCATATTGACCTTTACTTGATTTCATTGCATTTTCATTATGCTCATTATTATCTCATGAGTGCTCAAGAGAATGCTTCTGCTGTACTTTATGCATGCCAGTTAATTGTGGAGCACTATCTTATGATATTTAGGAGCGTTGATGGTGGTGGCACTGAGATTCATTTCATGTGTAATAAATTTCAATGATGGGTTGTTGAAAAGGGAAGAGTTACGTGAGGCTCATAAGAAATATCGATTAAGTTATTGCCTACATTGATTGAATATTTTAGGTACTGCCTCTGTTGTGGCAGTCACTTTATTGCTCCAGTTTAGAGATGGACTACCTTGACTGGACTGAAGGGAATGGGTTATGTTTATTATGTTGTTTGCCTTTTCTACTTTGAAGTTATTACAACAAACTTGCAGTATCGCGTGGGCCTTTACACTAGTATGACCTTTTAAAGAGAGAGATATTTGTGTCATATAATTTAGTTTGGTAAATTTCTTTTCTATGGTTGTATACTTATATCAAAGATTAAAGATCAGAGAAGGAGGTCTACAAAAACTGAGAAGGCCTTACCTCATGTATTTCCCCAACTGCTCAATCATTATTGACAGTGAAAAAAAAAAAAATTAAAGCAGGTCAATGTATAAGTAGTTGGGGTGGGATAATTCAAGGCTCAACTAATTTCAGGACTTCTTTCTACGTCAAGTTTTTAGTAAGCCTTCCTTGAAAATGGGCAAAAATTTCTTCCTCGAGGAAGCTTTCTTTGGCCCATTTTATTAGAGGCCCTCTACCTCTACTTTTATATGGTGTTTCATTGGTAATTAAGATTGTCTCGTTCTAATATTTTTTGGATTGCATATTCTTAGTTTGACATAGATGAGTGCCTGAGTGGTAGACACAATTCAACCTTTTTCGACTTAAAATAAATTGCTAGCAGTTGCATCATTTTTTTTTAATGAAAAGGAGGGAATGAGGGATTCCAATATGCTCAAACCATCTACTAACCCTTAACCAAACGTCCGGATGCAAAAGTTTTGAGTTGAATTGTTACGGGAAACTCTGTGTTTTGTAAAAAATGTGACATTAGGTTAGACTCTCGGTAACTTTATAAAAAAATTCGGTATTTGATCGTTCTCTGAATTATTATTGAATTAATTTTATTAATGGTTTTTAAATGAAATATTCTATTTGAGTTTTACAAATTTTTAATGTTTTATATTGGTATTTACTTTTAATAACAACAATATCAAACCAAGTCTAACATCCTACTATTTTGAGATCAGTCATAGAAAAGGCAACCAAAAAATTATTTTAACTCATTGTTTTAAATTTTCTTATGCCGTTTGTTCTTTTAAAAAATAATTTTTTATTTACTTTTTTAACCTTAATATCATTTTTTATTAATTACATCAACGTCTTTTTTGTAATTTATCTCCAAAAGTTTTGATCTATCCCAAATACGGAAGTTCATTTCTTTTAACTTCTGCATAAATAAGCCTACATTCACATCAAAATTATCTCAAATGATCTTTTCTTATATTTTTTTTTTCAATTTGAAGTACTCCTCATTTTCTTCGAATCTTTTCATTTTTGATTTTATTTGTTTTAGTTTTATCACATATTCATCTAAGCTTTATCATCTCAACTACATACATTTTTTTCTCATGTTTTTTCTTAATGATACAACACTCATCCCACATAACAATGTAGACTTTTATAGTTATTTTATACAACTTCACTTTCAACTTTAAAAGGCATATTGTGATTGCATAATACCGCACTTCACTATCTCACTCAAATCTAAACATAATACTTACTTTTAATATAGTTAATTACAAATAATAACACGTGACAAATAAATAATTCTTCAAATATCACATTAATTAATAGTTAACAAATTCATAATTTACTAATTCAGTTATCACATTAAAAATTTTAAAATTTATATGTCATATTAATATTTTATTATAATTTAGGTGTATTCATAATAGTATCCCATTAGACTAAAATACTAAAAAAATTCTTGAACTTTATTACTTTATTTAAATAAATCCGTATACTTTTATTAACCTAAATAAGTCCTTATTCTTTGATTTTTATCAAAGTATATTCTTATTTCAAATAATAGATTAATTTTTGTTAAGAGTTTATTAGGTACAAATTAAAAGAAAAGAATTTATTTGGTTACATATTAAAATTTAAAAACTTATTTGGATGCAAAATAAAAATTAAAAACATATTTGGCCTTGAGTGCAATAAAAATATAAAAATTTCTTCAAAATAAAATAATAAAATTTATGAGTTTTATTATTATTATATTAACTTAATTGATTATCATAAGACCACAAAAATTTTTATTACTAAATTACATTTTTTCCCAACCCACTTACAACGATGACCATAAGATTAAAAAATTAAAAACTTCATTATTATGGGATGTGAAATTTGAAATTTATTTTAAATGATTTGAGAGTATCAACTTAAACTGTTATATCTAAAATTTAATTTGATTAATTTGAAAGTATTTATTTATAATTTTTATTATAAGTTTACAATTATTTAATTATAATAAAAAATTATATATAAACTTGCTAATTATAAATGTAATTTTTATATAATATTTTATTAAATCTTACATAACTTTAAACTTTTTATTGATTCATAATTAAAATGGCATACAAACGTTAGAATTTCAATAGTCAAACAAAATAAAATATAAATTTTTTTAAATGTGAGCCTGCAAAAGTAAAGTGTGAAAAGGGCAATTCAACGTACTTCTGGAAAGGCCAGCACAAATTAGCTAAAGGGCCAAGGGTTAAATGGAAGACTCCATGTAAGCTTAAATCGAAAGGAGGACTCGGGCTAAAAGATTTTGTTCATTTGGAATCAGGCTTGTATGATTAGTCATTTATGATCTATTTTTTTTTTTGCATATTATATTTTTTAGATTCATATTTTATTTTAGTTTTATTTTTCATTTTATTTATTTATTTTTAAAAGAATTATTATGAGTAATTATATAAAATAACAATAATAATAATAATAATAATAATAATAATAATATCATAAAAAATAAAAAAATAACATAAAATAAATAAAATCAAAATAAAAAAAATTACCAAACGGATTAGGTTGAAGAGCAGGGTGACGTGTGGATCTTGTGCGAGTTAACCACGAGTTAAATGCTGTCATTTGGAGGCTTATAAATATGCCTTTTTTCTTTTTTCTTTTTTTTTTTTTAAGTTTTCCTTTCTTCTCTCTCTTTTCACCCTTTAGAGCTTCTCTCTCTAAAAATATATTTCCTTCGCCAACCGGTGTGGTAATTTAGATTTCGATCAATTATCATTATGCATAGGTGGCCAAAATCTTCAACGGCATCAAAAAATTTAAAGTTTTTCAAATTTCAGTTATTTACCTAAATTTTGATCGTTAAAAACTTTAAAGGTCGTTGAAAAATTCAAATATTTTCAATTTTTAACGACCTTAAAAAATTTTCAAAATTTTCCAAAAAATTTGAAAAAATCCTTTACAACCTTCCAAACACCTTTCCTAAACTAGTTTTACAAAAAAAAAAAAAATCTAAATACTTAGATTGAGAAAATTTTTTGTTTCTAGAAATTTATTTTTTTGTTTTTGAAAAAATTTTATTTTTTATTTTTTTACTGCTGGTTCTCTTTGATAAGAAGACTTTTTTTTTTTTTACTTGTGTGTGAATGGCTGTAAAAAATTGCTCTTTATTTTTTTTAGCGATGTTCCTTTTCTTTTTTTAGTTCCCCCTTTCTTCTCTCTTTGATAATATTCCCTTCTTTTTTCTCTTTTTTTGTATTTTGTAAAAATTAACTCTATTTATAAAGTTAATGGAATTTAAATCTCAAATCTCCTGAGATCTTTATGTGAAAAATTTTGAAGACCCGATGACTTTTGGTTATTACATTTCATACTATCAAGTTAAACAGTATCATGAGAGAAAAATATCATTCTGACAACTTGATTTCAATTGTCAAAGTTTAAATCAGAATTTTTTTTGACTTTTTTTGTAAGATTAATAATAATATAAATAAAATTATATTTAAATTAAAATAAAATAAGACAAAATTGTGCCGACACTCCCAATATCCCACTCCTCTATTTTCCCCTATCGTCCATGCTCCGTCCCCTCGGCTCACGTTAGCTGCTTACCTCCATGAACATCCGTGCCCTCCTCACCATAACACCCGCTTCTCTGGCGGCGACGTGTTACTTACCTCTATTGAATCAAACCTTAATTCCAAAAATTGAAATAGAAAAAGTAAGAACAGAAAATTAAGAAGAAGAGGAGAAGAAGAAGAAGAAACTTAGAGAGAAGAGATTGTTTTTCATTTCATAACTGAAAACCCATAATACACTCATGCTCTCCTTTTAAGCTGTTTAACAAAGTCTTACAGTTGCATCCAAGAATCTCGGATGGTGTAGCCTGTTCTCTTACTCCCTAACAATGACAATACAGTAGTTCATCACAGCAATAGCAAATAAGGCCTTATGAGGACTAGGCCTGCACTAACAATGAAATAAACAAGCCTAAACAATAAATAAACACATGCCTAATATCACATGAGTCCAATTATTTTGGCCCGTAACAGTACGCCCACAATGAAGAACATCCTTGTCCTCAAGGATGAAAGCTTGGAACTTAGTGTTGTCTTTTCCTTTGCAGTAGTAGTGACATCCTTTAGCATTGACTTCAGCAACTAGCTAACTTGCAAATTCTCTTGTGGGGCAAAGTATAAAAACAAATGTTGAAGAAACCCACTGAATGATATTACTACTAGCCACTTCAAAACCGTTTCAATTGCCGTAAGCAAAAAGGTAGCAAGTTTTCCTGTGTCAGTTTTAGCTTTGACTAAAGCATCTTTGCCCTCAAGGCAAACAAAAAGAGTTGCCTTCGACACTCAAGTCATCTGAAAATATCCAGCCACAAAAAGTGTCTTGACTGTCAGTGGTTGACACAACTACTTATGTTCTTGAGAACCCCCAAAACTGGTTCTCTAACTTTCCCGCAGAAATTAACTCCTTTTTGTATATTAATAAAAAAAACTTGCAATCCCGGGGATGCAGTAGTATATGACTGCGATTTGCTCTTTAATGACTGAATTTCTTGAAGAATTGCTTCCTTTTCTTTCTCATGTTTGTATTGTTCTACCAGAAGTTTCAATTGGTCAATTTTGGCTGCTTACTTCGTACAAACATTTTCAAGTGCTTTCTCTTTTTTGGTGGTTTCTGCCAAATCTCTTGTCACAGGATGGTCTCGCCATTTGTCTGTTGCGTACCAATGGCTACAGCTCATGTCTCTAAGCTATTACATGCATTCCACCTTTTAAAAGATCCACTTTTACTCCCAACTGAGCTATATAAATCACACTTCGCTTCAATAAGCTCTTTTGTTGATTGGCGAATTTGATCACTCAAGCCATTAACATCATCTTCGGATATTTCATTTATTATTGGCTCTGTAATTAGCAATCCAACAACATCCAATGGATCATCTCCTGATATTACTGCAAGTATATTATTCCATCCACCTCTGACACCTCTACAATGCCTCTTTATCAACTCCTTTTGTAGTATACTCGTCTCCCCATCAACTGTGTAAGGCTTGTTTACATAGCCTGAGACACAAGACAGTTTTGTTTTCAAATTATTCTTCCTTTCCAAACTGACAATCCATTTTGAACCGTATATCAATATTGTGGGAAAACAACCAAGATCTCTAGATGTGTGACATTAGTGGAACAACCATGCACTTGAGCATTAGCAGGGAAAAATGGCTTCAATATAAGCATTCACTCCTTTCTTTCAAGGTTCTCCAAAAATGCTGTTTCTTCACCGCACCGATAAGCTCCAGCACCATAATGGATATGAACTTCAAAATCATAACCAGAACTACATGCATTTTTGCCCAACATTTCAGTTTTAGTCTCCACATAGCACCCTGTCTGAGTTTACCCTTTAATCTCATGGATTTAAATAACGGTCGCAGTTATGTTTTCGATCACATCATTTTTGTTGCATTTTTTAATATAACCAAAATTATTGCAGTTATTGCGATCATTATAACCGTGATTTTTTTTTAAATTTTGTACAATTTGTTATAAAATGTAATAATTATAATTATAAAAACTCTTATTTAATGATTCTTAAAACAGTTTATGATACTTTATATTTTTTATTTTCTAAAAAAATTATGCACAATTTTATTTATATTATAATAAAGCATTCATATTTGGTTTAGCAATAAAATTTTTGCTTGAGCCAAATTCATATTCAATATTAATTCTAGACAAATCAAAATATTAACCAAAAAGAATATGTTAAATACCAAGTATCCATATTTAATAAAATTACAAACTTAAAAATATAATAATTTCAAATTCCATCAACTATAGTTATAAATTAATAAAAATTAATCTGATAGCAAAAGAATTGACAACAATATAAATACTAAAACAACAAAAAAATTATTAAATTTAAAATAAAAATCATAAATTAATAAATAACAAAATCCAAATATAATATTTAATTTTAATAATTTTTAATCTAACTTACATAAAAAAAATTATAAAAAATTTTCATCTAAAATCCATATATATATTATATTAAATTATTAATCTCTAATTTTTTCCATTATAATTTCTCATCTCTCTAACTAGATTTTATCTAAAAAATTTTTAAAAATTATAAACTTTTAAACTTATATTTTAATAAAATTAAATAAAAAAAACCCACCCACCCCACCCCACTTGGCCACTCACCCCACCCCACTTGGCCACTCAGGCACCTACGTGTCTCACTCCAATAGGGGACAATCCCCCTTCAAATTTCTCATAAATTTTGATAATAAAAAACTCTCCTCCTCAAATCTTCTTTGTGTTTTCTTTTTCTCCCCCTTTTTCTCTATATCTTTCGCTCTCTTCATGTACTATCATCAATGTTACTACCTACAGAGTATCGCGGCCTCATCTCTCTAAGATTTTCACAAAGATCAACATTATTCAATAAAAATTTTGCTAAAAAAAAAGATAATTTAAATCTCTTACATTTTTTTATTTTGATTGTTAATTTAAGACTTGAGATTAATTTGAATTTGAGTAATTTGTGGATTGAGTTAAGGTTATTGTCGATTGAATTGTTAATAAATGATTTGATACTGTTTTCTCACCTTTTTTTAGATTGATTTTGAAATTAAGAGTCTCAGACTTGAGTTATCTTTTTGTTTTTGTTTTTACTTTTGCATTTCCAATCCTCTTAGTTGCTTATTTTGATTCTTGACAGATTGTGTTGATTTTTTTTTTTTAATTTGAACCAATGATTGGAAAAAAAAAAGTGACAATAACGGATTGTTATTACTGTTATTTTTTGTTATGTTATTTTTCAATAGCCGTTATACACTATTTTGAATGTGATTTAATTTCTTAATCATTTTTTTTATAATGGTGAAGGGTGATGGCGGGTGGTGGCATTACTGTAATTTTACGACAGCTATTTCGTTACAGAACTGCTATTTGTAACATAGCCTTTTATAATGACCATATTTTAAAGGAACTCATCAACCGATTGAAAGCTTGGGGTCTTGTATATTGTCACCAACAACTTTTCTACTCTAAGAAGTCATATGTTTGTAGAAAATTACTAAGAGTTGCTACTTTTGAAAAAGATTTCCACCATAAGTTTGATCTATGCTTTGAAATACTGCATTTGAAGGCAATAGTTGATAAATTTTTTCTAAAATAGTTGAGCCGGCCTTTTACAAATTCTCGAGGGTTAAGATGAAATTGATCTAATAGCAAAACTAGTTGTTTATTAGGGCCCAATTTCATCACCTCATCATTTTCTTTAGGTGATTCTTTCACATACAAATTGAACATGGTGACACAAAAAACATCATTCCTCAACTACCCATTATCAAAACTTCTAGAATACACCTCTTTTTGATTTATCGCTTTAGTCAATTTAAGAGCGCAAGTCTCACTGATGGACACAACCACAACACCATTACTCATCTTTCCCATTACCAGCAATCTAAACTTATTGGGATCACAGAAAATAACAACATTATTCTCAATTACAAATATATAGTGAAACTTCAAATTATCTCGATGTGAGATTGGGGGTTACAAACTCCTTAATTAAAGTTTAACAAGGATACAAAACAAACAGATCTACCAAATCATATCAAACGTTGGACAAGTCCAACACAAAATATACACAGATTACATGATCACACCAAAGGTTATAAGCCCAATACAAAGTACACACAAATCACATGATCATCCAGACGTTGAGATTTTAAAGGTAACTCTTATTATGTAGCATTTAACTCTCATAGGATTTTAAAGGTGATTCTCATGGTGTAGCCTTAGTTCCCATCTGATTGGTGACCACTCTGATACTATTTATGGAGATCTACATCTAACTTGTGAAGTATTATCCACTTTAACCTTAAAATCTCATGATTTTATCTTACAAAAAATATTTCACATTGAGATTATGTATAATAAAAAAATTTCTTATTATCCCGATGTGCGCGTTACATGTACATGCAAAGAACTTTGGTCAGGGCTTCATAACTTTCTAGATTACTCGAATTCAATTGACAATAATGAAACATCACTGTAGAGAATAGGTTAAACTTATGTTCAACCAATCAGAATTAAAGTGGTGGAAGCTTAACATTCGTGGACCATGGTTCACAAGCTTAAGCATTTGGCTATTACTATTTCACAACTCCAACAAAATTTGACCGCCATTGATATGGTATTTGACCGGAAACAACTCGTTTTATCCCAAACCAAGTGAACCTAAAACCCTTTCAAAACCTTGGGTATTTAAAAAATGCTTGACTTTTGAATCAGAGTTGTTAACTTTGAGTTTCTGCTTGAGAGTTTCAAACGCAACGTTTTCAGGTGGGAGATTTCTTGCCGGAAATTGTTGGAGTTGGGTGCTGGTGGCGCGTACTCTAAAGGAGCTATGGTGACGGGTGTGATGCTGCGTTGCTGCTGGAAGTGGAAGGTGAGTGATAAATAGAAAGAGATAGGAAAGAGAAGGTGTTTTTTTTTTTTTTTGGGAGTGAAGAGAAAACAAAAATGGTTGTTTTATGATTACTAAGAAGAGATGAAGTACTTTAGCTGCTGGCCATTGTTTACAATGGAAAGAAAAGAGAAAAAAAAGTAGAGAAAGGGGGGTGGGAGGAGGGAAAGAAAAGAAAGGGCAGGAGGATAAGAACAGATGCTGGAAGCATATATCGAGACGAGGATCCTGAGGGGCAGAGGGAAGGAAGTGAGTGAAGAGAAGGGGTTGGAACTTGGAAAAATAACTGGTCTGTAAAATGGGATCGCGTCCGGTTGTGGAGTTGTCCAAAAGATCTAAAAACCTCATCTCTTGCTGAACTTGGACCGGTTATTGTGATTTTTGCGGGGTTTTTACTTACGTAGGATTAATTAAAGAGATGAAAATCTTTGTCAGCTGTTGGGGCTTATTCTAGGCCTGGTTACTGGGCTCAACCTTATAGGGCCTATTCTAGGCTTGATTGCTGGACTGAACCTTGGATCACTTCTTTCAGTCTAAAGACCAATAAACTTTGGAGCTTAGCATCAACTCTCAAGCCTGTTACCTAAAACAACATTGGACTTTCTCTAGGACCAATCAGATAAATGGGTCAATTGATATTAGAAGTAAACAAGACCAAAGGCTTGGCTAATCCATCTTGATCCAAAATCTAAAATGGTGGTTATAAGAGTAGTTTTTCATTTTTCAAGATCTTAACGATAGTTTTTAGTTTTTACACCTATTGACTTGAATCTAGTATTTTCTTATAAATCCCATTTCTTTGATCAATAATCTAGATTTGATGTTAGATGACTTTGCTCATTTCTTTATAAATTGACGTGATATTGATATTTTTCCACTATTGGTTTAGAGTGCCATGAAAATCTTCGTCTACATATATGGCCACCATGGATGAGAATTTTTGTTCCCAAGACCAGATGGCAGGCAGGGTCAGGAATTCAAAATTGAACTGTGGATTCAAAAGCTGTTATTGGAAATACTTAAATATCATTACAGCAAGAATAATTACATTCAGGTCCCCTATTATGCAATAACTACAAAATGATCACAGCATTATTAATTTCCCTGTCAAACTTATCCATCTACCTCTAATGATAGCCAGAAAGAATATAAAAATCAGGTACTAAAGAAGAGGGTGAGAGAAATAACTTTGAGCGTTATTGGTTTTCAACCTGGATTAAAATGCATGGACCATACATATACATACGACTTGCCAAATTAAGCCGGATAAATTGCATGGCATACATTTCGGATGTAAGCATTAATAAATTGCATGGCATACATTTGTTTTTCCAACTACTAGAGTTTTAACATATTCTTAGGTATTTTATGAGGGAAGAGCCAAACTCAATAGCTCATTAATTGTATATTTGTAACAATTAATAACAGCTATACTTGAGCTGATATGTTTATACCTTTACCCTAAGATAGAGTACGTAATTTTGATTCTTATATATATCCCACGTTAGATAGGAATGTGATTGTCTTATTTAGAAATTCAAGTCACTGATCACCGTTAATCATTTGATGAGTTTATGCTTTCTAAATTAATCCACATGGTATACAGTTAAAAGCATTACATTTACAATTAGTATTTGAACATGCGTTCAATTCTATTTTCCAGTCTTCCCCAACTGATCCTGTAGCTAATTAAAGCCAGCATAACATTCTACATTCTTTCTTCTTTTTTAATCAAAAGGAAAAAGACTGAATCCTTATATCCTCAGCAGCCAATGCAAAAATAATTAATTAAAGTTTAAAAAACAAAAAAATTTGAAAGAAAAATTTTTTCTCGATACCATCAAAATTTTGCATTGAACAATTCACAATTTTCCCTTAAATACATAAATATTTTTTTTAATTTCCTAACCAGTTCATTCACTATCCTTAATCAATACTTAACCATAATCCACAACCACCAATACCTAGCACCCATTAGACACCCATTATAATAAGTGAACACTTCCGGAAAAAAAAATTTACATCCGTCATTATATATTCTACTTGATTTAATTAAGAATATAAGACCTAATTTGTCTCAAGACATGAGTATTTCAAACAATATGCATGTTTTTAAAACCCAAAGACATGCATATAAATTTTCATTCAATTTTATACAATATATATAAGATGCTTATAAAATAATAGTTGAATATTCTGCTGTATTTTTGCGGTCAAATTAGAAAATATATTAAACCCGTTACAGAAAACTCAAATATATATAAGTAACAAAATTAAGTTTTTTAGAGGTTAAACTTAAAATTTAGCTAATTTATTTCATATATAGAACCCATTTTCCAATTATTAGGTATAGTCTCTTTTGTTAAAAAAAAAAAACTAAAAACAAGTTCCCTCCAGAAAAGACTGACCAAAAAAATAAAAAAGACGATACATGCCCTCTCCTTGATTCCCTCCAACACAATTCAATGACTACCCTGAAATATATTTACTTTACTCTTATATCCTGTTTTCAAGATAACTTGATTGTTATAAAAGAGATGAAACTGCAAAAGACATGGTTCTTGATCAATCCTGATTTTTTTTCTTTATTTTTTGGTTTATTTCCCCCTAGTAATAATTATTACAATAAAGCAAGAGTTTCTAGGATATTGAGAGCCTTAAATCTTTAAATTAATCCTCTTTGAAACATAAACTTGCTTTCCAACGAGCATATCTAGTAATGCTAAAGTTATTATGTTGTTATTATTATTGTTATTATTATTCATCTAATATTTTCTCGCAATTCATGCACTAACAGACAATGAAAACAACAAAAGAGGAAAGCAAGTGATCGATTGATAATTTACCTCGTCTTCTGGTTTTCGACAATGATTCACATTGATTATGAGCATTTCTCTAATTTGGACAAGTACTTCAAGATCTCACTCAGAATTGTCTCATTCATAAAGTCAGATCTAGAGTACTTGCCATCCATGTCCTTGCATGTTTTCTAAGCTTTGAAGATGATGATGAAGATGAAGAAGCCAAAGAAAGAGACAAACTACTATCAACTCCTCCTTCCAAAGTACCCTTTCCAAATTCATTATTGTTTGGTGTTGTTATTTTCAGGGATAAATTCAAATCTAAGTCTTGGATATTGGAATCCACAGTCTTCCTCTTTAACGTGTCTTGGGCTTGTTGGCTCATTTTCCAACTATTTTGTGGTGAATTAGTAATGCTGCTCAAACATTTAAGCTGATCGGTTCCTGATCTCTCTGGAAATTGGGTGGTGAAAGTGGAACCCATTGATCCACTTGGCCTTGTTTGTGTTTGCCAGGATCCATGAAATGATTGGACTTCTTTCAAAGTTTGATGAGTTGATGTTCCTGAAGGAGCTTCCCCACTGAAACAAGAATTAGCCATTTGGGAATTAAAGCTAAGTGAATTGTTGCTATAGCTTCCAATTATTCTGTCTCTGAATGAACTATACAACCCTTTTCTTGCTATATCCAGTGCACTGCCTCCCCTGTGAGAACCATAGATCTTTTGATCATTCCCTCTCCAAGAAACATCACCATACCTTCAAAATTAAAAGAAAAACATCTGGTTAATCATAATTTCTTTTTTTCAGTTAAACAATGTGAATATATGATGCAAAATGACCTCAAAGTACTGAGAAAGATAACAACTTTTATACCGAAAACTGGAAGAAGGCCACTGATTATTAAAACTGCGCAGCATAGGAACCTGGTTAAGTCTGTATATATGGTGATCTCCGCCTTCAAACAGAAGCCCTTGCTCTGAAATAACTGCATGCCCTATATATAGAATTATATACTTTCATACAACCTTAAAACAAACCCTTAAATCTATGCACTGTTAATTTATAGAGGGAAATAAATTAAGCTTACCTTGATTGGGGCCATCAATCTTCTTGCTTCTATACATCTATCAAAACAAAATTCAAAAGAAGTCAACAGATATACATATATATATATATATATATATAATTTGACTCAAAAATCATCTATGATTAATTGAAAATTTGGTAGATAAAAAGAAAACAAAAAACCTGTAGATGACTCTTCACATGAGCTATGCTAAGGCCTTTGATGTTCATCAATTGAAGAACCAACTTGGGTGTTGCTCCTGCATCAAGAATTTTTTTGGGTTTAACCTGCTGCTGAGTGTTCAACTGTTCATCATCAAAAGTTAAAAAAAAAAAAAAAAAACCCATAATTTAACTGGCTTTTATATGTCTACTTACTCTCTTGTCCTCCTAGTCTTTCAACAGCATGAACAAAGCAAAGATGGAGATCAGGAGTCCATCGGAGTCTCGGTGTCTTGGAACGATTATACTGCCTCACAGATCCAGAAGCAGACTTCTTTTCATTTTCTTCTGCTGAACTACTGCTAGAGCTCTCTCCATTGGTTGGCTTGCAATTAACCTCCTCTTCTTCATCTTCAATACCGCCTTCTTTGTTGTTGTTCTGACTGGTCTTGGAATCTCCGAAACTTTCAGTACTAATTGCCATATTCATGATCTTTAGCTGTCTTTGTTTGCAAGTCTAACTAAATGATCAAAGAACAGCATTAGTGATTAGGGATCAAGTCACCTAGAGATACCAACAAAATGGATTGTAAAAAGTTGAATGTCTTCGACCAGCTGCTTTTCTCACCTCAGATCAAGCAAGAGGGAGGAATATTGAGATTTTATTCTTTAGAACAAAAGAAATGAACCATTTAATTGAAGCAAATAGGTTCAACCCTAGCCCATTGACAAACATGGGGAGATAGATATTAGGTATCTCTCTTCTTTGTCTACTATTTTATATGTAGTTATATGACCTCCTTGTATGATGCATTCTTTTAATTATTAAAATATGCATGTATATTTATAATGAAATAATTGTTATTAGTAATATAAGAAGTTGATTAATTCATGAATAGGCTATATATGAGAGGAAAGAGAAAAATGAGAAGAGAATTTTCATAATTGAGGGGCGTAAATGATACGCTCTTATAATTAATTATTTCATGGGTCAGGGTGACCAAACACACTAATTACATGCATAAGAATGAAGATCCTGTCAAGTAAATTACCTAAAGGAGATAACTGTCTTCAATGAAAATTAACTAACTAGTACCCCTATAGTCGGTGACGGAACTAAAATTTTTTTCATATCTGCTTATGACATATATATATATATAAATTTATGAATTTATTAATTTTATCAATGAAAAAATACTCCAAAAAAATTTATAAAATGTTCAGGAAAAAATTCTATTAAATTTGTCATATGATCTTTTGGATATGCATGGATACCTTTGTGTCCCATTTGAATAAGCCTCTGACTACAGTGTGTGTATATATATATATATATATATATTAGTATAAAAGAGTCTGAAACTTAATATAAGAAAAGAAGTTACAGAAATTAAAATAATATATATTTTGGATATTACTTCTTAGCCTTTAGTCTTCCTTCCTTCCCTCTTCTCATCACTTCTTTTTTAAATTTTCAATGATAAAAATCATTTGTTACTTGTTATAAGATTCACTACTAATTGCATTGTGACGTGTTCAACATTTTAGTTATCTAATAAAAGAAGCTGTTGGCTGGCTCTAAAAGAAATGGTTAGGCTATGTTAGCTCGTGACTTGTCTAATAAAAGAAGGCAAACGAGGAAAACAACTAACCTTGCCCAGCCTGCATGCGTGTTATTAAGGCATATATGAAAGCTACTGCCAGGAGTTAAAAGCTACTGCTGGCCTGTCACTCACTTAAAAAAATGCCACTGTCTTTCCGTCGAGAATCACGGATTTGTCTTTTTATCCCCCATTTGAACACTCCAACCGTTCAGCATCTAGCTGGTAGAGTCAATTTTTCTATGGAAAAAAAATTTGAGAAAATTTGGTAATCTCTATTCAGGTCTTCACTACTGCATATTCAATTTCTGGCTTTATTATTCTGAATGACCCCACCTTTACCAAACCAACGTATAAAATGGCATACACGTATGGACCGTCTTGGTGGGGGTCTTTGGATTGGGGTTGGGCCAACTAAACAAGAGAATGTTTAAATTTAAAGGAATTAATTAATGTAAGTGAAGTTTTGATGTAATAAGATTAATTTGACTATACATGTAGCATAATAATAACATTGAAATTAATGGGTGTTTAATGTATAATTTTGCTTAATACTCCTATACAGTTTAGAATAATTAAGATCTTATGTCTCAGCTGTGGGTTTATCTTGTTTTTGATGCCATTAATTTATCTCTCTTTTCTGAATGATATATCTCTCTCTTTGACTGGAGGGGGGACAGTGACCATTTTGAAGTACATGACCTAGCCAGAAGAAAGTTTAGGAGAGAAAGCTTTAAAAATGATTATGAAATGAGCGTTTCAAAACGGTTCCCAATGCAGAAATGGAAAATTGGGGTTGCCTGTCGAGATTCGCTCCAATCTCTGAGTTATTGTACATTTTTAAGCGAAAATTTTATAATTTTATTTCAAATAATTGTTTTATATATATAAATTAAAAATTATATATATATATATCATAATAAAATTTTTAAAATATCTTATTATGAGATTGAAGTGTAACACTATACTTCAAAGTTAAGAAGTAGAAACCTGGGCAGTTGAAAAATGGTTTAAAGAAGAAAAAAAAAAAATAGCATTGCCTGCATTTGATACATGTTCCTTACAGCTACAAAGGGTCAGCTTGGCCTCTGCCCTATTGAACCAACCAAACTCAATGCCTGTTAACTGTTAAACTAAAATTTAGAAAAAGAAATCCAATCTCCAAGTTCCCGATCCTTCAGTCCCAAATTTAAAAGTTGGACATGACAGATTGTAAAAGAAGCAGATTAATCAATAAACGGGTAATGTCTATTGTTCATATACGGTTTAATTTTCTGCATGAAAAACCTTATATTCCAATTCCATCCTCGTGTGTCTTCTCTTTCTTCCATGTATTTTTGGACCAAAAGAAGAACATTTTTCTCTGCATGAAAATAGCAGATAACTACACACTGAAAAAGGGTTCAACTTGTTTAACTCAAAAGTTGTTTACAGTCACGGGCATCTTGGGAGAAATCACAGCCGTCCAAGAAATGTTTTGTGATGGGGAAACCAATACACTATTAGTTGGTCTTGCTATAGGGAGCCAAGTGATAAAGGGTGAAGAAAGTGCAACATTTTCAGAATGTCTTGTCTGCTCAATTGAGAATTTGGTCATTGAAAGATATTTTCCAACATATATATATATATATATTATATATATATATAGGTTTTCTATGATGATGAACAAGAACAAACGCAATTTGTTGCGCATTTACTGGTGGGAATTTAGCCTAATTAGCTTTGGGGAAACAATTAATGGGGTATGTTTTACTAATAAGTATCAGAATGAAGGTCTTTCTGGCTTGTCCCTATCTATCTGCCAATCTCCCATTTCGAATAAAGAAAATTTGACAAAACACATTACTTCAGAAACACGATTAGGGTTATCTTTGAGTTTTGTTCGAATGTAATTTCATTCCGATCTAAACAACACGTTCTCTTACGTAGATGTGTTAAAAAAAAATAATAATTGCCGCAAGCCCATAAACAACATTTCCAATGCTAATTTCCCTCTAAATTAAGAGTAATCTTAATTTACGACAAATAAATCAAGGTTAAACATGATGGTTTTTAACAATGACCACCGACTGTGGCTGGTTTGGTTTGGTTTGGTTTGGTTGGCCTGTGAAAATTAATTATTATAGAAAGTTCTCTGGCTTCTGACAGATTCTGCTTCAATTTCCCTACCTGTAAAGTCAAACCTCAATGGTACCATTGTTTTTATTTATTTATTTATATGTAATTTTTAATGTGCATGAGAATACGTGAACCTATTAAAGCGGATCTACCATCCGTGGAGGATCAGGATCGGATGTCTGTCTTTTACCTGGAAAAAATTTTTACAACTAAAACAAATGTTAGGTTTATAAATACATGTTTAAATTACAAACAGGTCACCCATACTTCAACTGAAGCTTGACCTTTAATTTCAAACCTCATAGAAGCTTCAAATTACTTTGCTTGAGTCATATGATTACGTCCAAACAAATTACTATCAACACATTTTATTTTTATATATAGAAACCTTGATAGTTCATATTTTTCTTAGTGCACCAATATATATACATATATACAAGATATGAATTAAGTGCTCAATCCTCCAAACATTATATCTTTATGTATGGAAGCATATTTTATGAAAAGAAAATCATTTAAATTTGGCATAAGTTATTGGCAAGGTAAGTCAAAGAAGAAATCATAGATTTGAGTCCTTAATTATATTTAAAAATAATGTTAGGTTTAAAAGGAAGTACTAATAAGTAAAAAAAAATACTCATAATTTTAGTAATATTAATGTGATCAATTAAAATTACATTTGGTAATTTATGTATTTGTATTTTATAAAAGATTGAAATTTGTGTTGTGTTTTACATGAAAATTGTGTCACAATACGTATAAATATAAAAACATAATTTTTTTTATTTTGTTAAATCCAGATATAGTTATTATTAAAATTTATATCATATCATTTTTTTGTTCTTTTTTCATATAGTATTCGTGTTTTATTTTAAATTATTAAGTCTAATTAAAATGATAGAATAATTGAGGAATATATTAGGTAAAAGCAACTTTGACCAATTAATCAAAATAACTGATTCCTAATTAATGATTCTTAATAAAAAAGAATAAATGGTTTATATGAAAATTTTAATAAACTATATTTTGTAGGAAACATATGCTGAATATATATACTAATGTAATGTGCTAAATGATGTCCTATTTTTATTTATTTTATGAGTTGCTTTCACTAATTAAAAACATTTAAAAAGAATAATAAAATGATTATGTTGATATTTTAATCTCCAAGGCAGTTTTTTTCTGCGCCGCGAATGCAACATATTACCTGCCATATTATTCTTTGTTTTGAAAATAATTCCAATGTAATATATAATATCAGCATCTCTTACCATGCGTTCGGATAAAAAATTTTGAAATTTTAAACAACTTTAAATTAAAGATATTTTAAACTATATCATTTCAAAATATTAGTATTTATAATTATTTTTATTTGAATAAATATTTTTTAAAAAAATTTAATTTATTAGAATTTGATGATATAAAAAATAATTATAAAAAAGAATAATAACATTAAAGATAAATATACATATATATATGTATAAATAAAATATGCAATATAGATATAATTAGATTCGTTAAAATATATATTATTAATAATTTAAACATATATATTAAAGTAAAATAAAATAATGTTTATTTTTTAAAATTTTGTATTTTAGAGTAGATCATATGTAGTAAAGAGATAGAGGCTTTAGAGAAAATTCGAAAAATCACTTATTTAGGTGAAATTTCAAGAGAGAGTTCCCTTTTGAAATTCTCCCTAAATTTTAAAATACTTTCTTATTTTTACCCAATTAAGGTCTAATTTAGCATTATTGTTGTAGTT